TCTGTCTTCTTGGTGCTTGGGGGGGGGTCAACAGTGGGAGGGCTTCTGATGTCCTGGCCCCACTGGTGGACCTCCTGATGGCACCTGGTATTTCTGGCCACTGTGTGACACAGAGTGTTGGACTGAATGGGTCTTTGGCCTGATCCAACATTGGCGTCTCTTATGTTCTTATGAGGGTGTGCATGAGAGAGAATTCTTGATCAGCATAAGATTAAAATCCAGATTTCCAGCCAACTGCCGGTCGATCAGATAGTGGTTTTCCGACTGTGCAACAAGGAAACTAGAGGTCCCTAAGAGGTTTATTGGGGTTTTCTTCATCAAAAGGTCAGTCATGGTGAGCAGTCTTCCCAAAGAACAGCCAATCCACCACTACTGGAATCTGTAGACCCAGGTGAGCATTGTCGGATTCTCGAGCATACTTTAAATGTGAGACCCGACAAGTTCCCTACAGCACATTCTAAAATCCTCTCTAATGTGGCAGACAGACGAGTACCTCAGAAGGCTGGTTACTGTGGAAAGAATTCCCAGGGGCTGACGACCTTGATTGCCCAGACTAGCCTAATCCCTTTGCGTTTCAGAAGCTAAGCAGGGTTGGCCTTGGTTAGTACTTGGATGGGAGACCACCGAGGAATTCCTGAGTCACTATGCCAAGGAAGGCAATGGCAAACCACCTCTGTTCATCTCTTTCCTTGAAAACTGTATGGGGCCACCGTAAATTGGCAGCAACTGGACAGCATTTTACACACACGATAACGATTGATCTGATCAACTCCAAGTAGGAGGGTTTTGCTTTTTTTTAAAGATGCAAAGTTTTTCACCACAATTCCAGCAAGCGGCTCAAAATGTGGCTGCCCACTCTGACGAAACTAATCAGGTGAGGCTGTTGGGATGGAGCCCTGGCAGGTAATCCGTGCTATAAAAGCCGACACGTATCAGCCATCTGTTCCCCCAAAGAGGCGGAGAATGATGGTCGTGGTTCCCCTTGGGCATACGGCCCAGCCTGTGCAAGGATCTTTGGACAAGGTCCAAAACATTTTTGAACTGGACCCTGTAATTTGACATTGCTCAGCCCAGTGTCTCTCACTGACTTATCCAAACAGCTGGGAATAAGTCTTTGCGCAGAAGGAGCTGGCTATGGGCTAGCTTCTCCTAAAAAAGAAAAGAAAAAAGACAGGCGTTTGAAAAGAACCGTGTAAAATTCAGCCATGGCAGGCAGCGGAGAGAAGTTTCTGTCAGACTGCTATGATAAATGAAAGGGCTCTTATGGCTCAACTATTTGTTTAGACCTCTTGTTTCAGGCTGCAACGCTGCACAAAACTAGCATTGAAGCGTCTCCCGTTCAAACATAACACAGTCTGACAATGATCAGCCCACTGGGCTTTTCTTAAGAGAAGGCCATATTGTTCTGCTCGGGGAAAGTGCTCCTCGCGCTGTAGATGTCCCAAGACATGAAGGAAAAGCACAGCATGAGGAAGACTTTCCAGTACATTAGTACTCTATGAAAGGAACTGACCACTCGAACATTAATATTGCCTTGTCCGAAGGACTGACAGATGGGGAAAGAACCATAGAAGAGACAGCTTGTTTCCTCCAGCTTTGTTTTGATAATCGAAGAGTTGGTCAGGGGAGGGGAGGGGGGATCCCAGATTTAATAGCTAGTGTGCGGTATAATTGGAGGTAGATGTTTGCACTGCCAAGAGCGTAGCTCCTCCTTCCCTTTTTCTGCAATAAATATAAAGCCACAGCCGAATGTTTACTTTGGAACTGCTTGTGACATTAAGCATTTTGTACACCGGCTAAAGCCATTAATACCAAACAGGTTTCAGCTAATGGCTTTTGAGTGCTCTTACTTTTTTTTTTTTTTTTTTTGTGAATGCTGCAGGTTTTTGAAGCTGTTGAGGCCCATGTTTATAAGGCACTGAAATGTGTGGACTGCAAACACTGTACAGGAAGAATACTTTTTTTGAAGTATCAGTCAACAAGGATTGAGCTTGGGCAGCAATCTAGGCATGCTCCAAAGTACCTGAAGTTCCACTGATCCATTGTTAATGTACACCAAAATTAATATGGTCACAGTGCATAGACATGCAAAAATAAATCCACAAGAACTGTGCACAGTGCGCTCAATATTTCTTTAACAAAAATTGTGAAGTTATGAATATGAAAGTAGAAAAGTAATAATAATACATTCAAATTATATATTCAGGTACATAAAGATAGAAGGTGACAACAACGGGACGGTAGTCTCTGGAATGTTATTTCATTGTACAATTACCAAGATGCAAGCATTGATGTTTCTATATATATTATACTATTTTTTGGCTTATAGACTATTGGTTAGAAGAAGACGTCTGTCGAAACGGCACTGCATTCTGGAGACTACCATCCCGTTGTTGTCACCTTCTATCTTTATGTACCTGAATCTATAATTTGAATGTATTATTATTACTTTTCTACTTTCATATTCATAACTTCACAATTTTTGTTAAAGAAATATTGAGCACACTGTGCACAGTTCTTGTGGATTTATTTTTGCCACTGATCCATTGTACAGATGGGTAAGGTCAGCTGCTGTCCATACCCACGCATTCTCTGCTGTTGCCCCAACATGGTGGAGCACCCTGCCCAAGGAAGTCTGGAGGGCTCATATCAGTCTGCAAAAATGTGTTCCGTGAAGTGTTTTATAAAGGGGATATTGTCAATTTAGAAGTCTGTGGAAATGCTAAGAATTTAGGCTTGGCCGGCCTCCTGCTAATGGGGGGGGGGGACTCCCCGCTGGCAAGCCCTATTGCCTGCCACCACATCTAGCATTTGCTCCGCTGTTTTACCAAACCCACACTGGAAGAGAAAAAGATGTGGCTCAAAACCACATACAAATACCCCTGCAAAGTCACCCCTGAATGGCCATGAAACAGCCATAAATCTATGCAGACAGCTACCATAAAACCGAGAGATCAAAGGAGGTGAAAGCGGCATAAAATCCAACACTCAAGCAAAGTGAAAGTGGCATGCCATGCAGAGGGGGATTTCTGTTCCAGCCTGGGTCTGGTAAGACAGTGGAGCAAACGCTAGACGCAGACTGGGTTTATGATGAAAATTAGAAGCTTCATGTCAGGGAAGAGATTTCCATAGGCAAGTCTGAAGTATGTGCTCAGCACTGGCATCCTTAGGAGAGCCAGTCTGGTGTAGTGGTTAAGTGTGCAGACTCTCATCTGGGAGAACTGGGTTTGATTCCCTACTCCGGGCCATGAGGTGCAAGCACGGGGTCAACATGGTGGCCCGTGTCCTCCTCCTTGCAGCCTGCACCTGCCGCTGCACCCCCCAATGAGCCGTTGCCCAGTCTGCTGCCACCCTTGCCACCACCGCCCTCCCCTGGCTGCTGCCCCCCGAGGCCTGGCCCACCGCCCTCCCCTCAGCCAGCCCTTTGCCGCAGGTCCTTCAGCCGTGCCACTGCTTCTCCAACCTGCCTCCGCTCACTTTGGACAACATCAAGGAGCATGTCCTGTACGTGCTGAAGCTGTACGATGAGATAGACCCCGAGAAGTTGACAGTTGACTCCCACTTCACGAAAGACCTGGGCCTGGACAGCCTGGACCAAGTGGAGATCACCATGGCAATGGAGGATGAGTTTGGCTTAGAAATCCCCGACGTTGAGGCTGAGAAGCTGATGTGTCCGCAGGAGATTGTCGATTATGTATCTGATAAGAAAGACATGTATGAATAAGGGCTTGTCGATCTGAGCAGGCAATTCTGTTCCTCCCCGAGGGCTTGGAGGTTGTCCACAGGAAGGCAACATGTCGGTGAGCAAAGAACACCCTCTCCTTCACCATTCCCTGCTGCTCTCAGATGACTAGTTGTCGTGGTTGTATTTAAAGCTGTATCAATATCTATGTTGACGTTCGGATTCCCCACTCCTTCACTTGCAGCTGCTGGATGACCTCGGGCAAACCATAGTTCTGTCAGAGCTGTTCTTGAAAGAGCAGTTCTTGAAAGAGCTCTCTCAGCCCCGCCTACCCCACAGGGAAAGGAGTTTGTAAGCCGCTCTGAGACTTCAAGTGAAGGGCGGGGTATAAATCCAATCTCTTCTCTTCTCTCTTCTAAGTCTGTTCAAATCAATGGGTAACTTGCTCAGGTGGTGTAACCACCACCCATTGAAATCAGTGGATCCTGAATGGACTCAGCCTTGGCTGTACTGGGCATATATTCTCACACACAGCAGCATTGGTAGATGAATGAAAATATATGAATTCCATTTAATGCAAGCTTGGGAAATAAGGTCGCAATCCACAAAGAAGGTTTTGCCTCTTCCAGTCCTGTGGGAGAACATCCAAAAACAATGGACTAAAGAAGTTTATATCTTATTGCAGTGGTGACGAACCTATGGCACGCATGCCAGAGGCGGCACTCAGAGCCCTCTCAGTGGGCCATCGCCCCAGCCAGGCCCAGACCATCATTAAAGTGTGGAATTCTCCGCCAAATAATTTTAAGTAAATGAAAGCATTTGGGATTGCTTTCCTTACTTTGTTTGGATCATCTTATGTTAATGTATGAGTTGTTTTTTCTACACTAAAACTTCAGTATTAAGGTTAAATTGCTGTGTTGGCACTTTGCGATAAATAAGTGTGTTTTGGGTCGCAGTTTGGGCACTCGGTCTCTAAAAGGTTCACCATCACTGTCTTATTGGTTAATATATTGCCTATTTCATGGAGCTTGATCCATCTGAGATTAACCTCTTTGAAATGTTATGGATCTCAATGAGAGGGATATAAAAGTCTCTCATTGGAAGGAATGGAATTTAAGAATCCTTAACCTACATATGTTTCATTTTTTTTTCTTGTTGTCTTTTCTTTTTTCAAAAGGACATCATCATCTTTGAGGCTTTAGGAAAATGTGCAACTAAGACTGAGATGAGCTTGAGTATTGGAGGAGCAACAACTATTGAGACCACAAAAGTAACCATGGGCTCCCTAAAGCTAGAACAAGCAATTATGCTCTGCAGTGCATTTCTAAGGGATAGCAGACATTTGTGGAATAGCAAGATTTTCAGAGTATAAGTTTTCAAGAGTCAAAGCACCCTTCATCACATACTGAATGGAGACGTCCGAGTCCTTTTATCCTAGTGAGAAGGGGGAGGGGTGTTGTAAAGAAGGCTTGTCAACAATGCAGAGGTTTCATGCATATGGTAATCAGATTGATTAGAACAGAGGGGAAATACCTGGGGGCAGAAAATTAGCATCTGTAGTGAGATAAGAATCCTATGTCCCTGTTCAGCGGTGTGTGTGTGTGTGTGTGTCTATTGTTCTGAACTTGTGAATGAATTCAAGTTTAGCAATCTTGTGTTGTAATTTACCATTGAAATTTCTTTGTTTGAGGACTGCCTCTCTTAGGTCAGCAGTGGAATGACCTGGAAGATTAAAATGTCCTCCCACTGGTTTTTGAGGGCTGCAGTTTTAAATGTTGAATTTATGTCCATTTATTATTTTGTGTAGGGTCTGTTTGTCCAGTGTTTAAACTGGAAGGAACATTTGATGTTATAGCTAATGTTGGAAGATGGGCCTGTGGATGAACCTGAGATGATGTGGCTGATGTTGTTAGGTCCAGTTACTGTGTTGTCAGAGTGGATATAAATTCACATGGCTGTTCACCTAATACTAACCAGTTGATATTTTATGTAACATTATGCTACATTTTATTCAAACTTTATTTGTATAGATAATGGTTACATTTTATATCACCCATATATCTATTTCTCAAGTGTGACCGGATCTGCAGATATCTAAATCTTCAGATCGGGTCCACACTGAATGAAAGGAGATTTTTCTGCAAACTCTGGGGACCCTCACATTTCCAGGAGAATCTTAAAGTTTTAAAAATACATTGCAGGTGTTTAACCCCCCCTCCCAACAATAACATTATCTGTGCATGTGCAGTTTACTTACCTGTGTAGTGACATGGCCCTCTTGCTGGTTGCTGGGAGCCCTGCTGTCCAATTCCCCATTCATTCAGAGTAAATCCACGTTTGATGAACAAAATAGAATTTATTAAAAGAGATGGTTAGATCAGGAACACAATCATTGTTAGTAATGACTACAAAAGTCCAAGGGAAACATAATAAAGGAACTTGAACCGAGACAGGACCAATGAGCCCAGTTCCCGCTGGCGGGAGTGTGATAAGTCTTAGCGCCCTTTCCTTGGGAACACAACGGTTCATACTACATAAACACTAGCTCATTCTCAGGCCTCAGAATATATAATAAAGAGAGCAAGCCATAACTCCTTCCCACCACCAGCTGGTTAACCTTGAGCAGTTCCGCGGTGTGCTAGCAACAGAAAGTAAACACCTACACAAGGGGCAACAGGAGGGGGGTTGAATCGAGTACAGTATACCATGCAGAATAAAACATACAACATAATGGCAGCTTGCTGCCACCTGCCACCAATGCTGTCTGTGTGTATGTGTACAGGTAAAATCTCACCTGTTTAGAAGGGAGTAGAAAGCTGGATTTAGTCCCTTCATGCCGTGTTTCCTGTTTTAAATAATTGACCAGCAGGCCTTCCGCTTTTAAACTGCACGACCCACATCAAAGCCCTTGCTACTCCATGGGTGTGCTATTGGAGGAGAGCAATCATAAGCAAGAAGAATCTCATACTTAAAATTTGCCCTTTGTATTATGTATTTAATTGTCCCAGGCTTTTTCAACCTGACATGTAAAACAGAAGTTAGAAAATGTCACCATTAAAAAACATGTACTATTTTCTAAACAGAACTTAACATCAGTATTCAAGAATTATTAAATGGCGATTGGTCCTTGAGGTTTGAAGGGAGAAGTTTTATGTGCCAGAGGAGAGACAGCAAGGCATTGGCCTAGTTTGTCTCAATGGAAAGCAAACTGGTTTTCGAAACCTGGATGACCTGGAAGACTGATTATTTATTTATTTTTTTTGTCTCCCTGATATCCAGTTCTGAAAAACACCATTTTTTTTCAGGGTACACATCCCTACGAGGGTGCCTTAATCCATGGACAATTTCCACTGTAGCCCGAGCCACTCTGTCTGTTTACAACTTCTGTATGTCAATGAAAAGTCAACAAAGGTTTCCGTGATGTTTCTTGGTTATCCCAAATGTCCTGGAATTATTAAATGACCCCAAAGAAGCTGCTAGTGAGGAACTAAGTGGGAACAGAAGATATTTTCTTTTGGGAAATATACATGTGGATGGTTTGTGATTGGATTTCTAAAATGCAAGTAAACATTGTTGATGAGCACAATATTTTTCAAATACCCCATTGGTGCTAACACAGGTGTTGATAAAATCCTGATGGCTTAGCTACAAGGGGTAACTAAGCAATGGTGTACAAGCACAGGCCTAAATGTAAGCTTACTTCAATATCAGTTTGGGGAAGTGTTTGCCGAATGACTGCCTTCGTTAAAGATAGTGGGAATTCATATCACTGTTTCTGAGGAATATAGGGGAGAGGAGGACTGAAAAGTTCTCCGACTATTTATTTATTTATTTAATAATATTTTTAAAGAGCCTGTCCACATTGGCCAGATACTCAAGGCAATATGCAAGCTACAATGATCTATAAACTCAATAAGACAAAAATGCATTAAAAACACAATGAAACAAAGTGTGGTAAAAAAAAATTCTCTGTAGTCTAACTCTAAATACTTCCAAAAGAAGAATGTTTTCATCTCTCTCTTTAAAAGAATCTATTCTCAGGTTCTAAAATATGTCCCCTCCCCACATTGTTTATCCTCAGCATCTGATGCTTATTTATTTATCATCTCTGTCTGTCTAGCTACCATTCCTAGGATGCCTTCCCCCCATTAGGTCCCTAAGGCAATGAACATGAAGCATTTAAACATCTCAATATTAAAAAATTATAATAAATCATATAATAAGTTATATATACAATAGTTCAATAAAATATATAAACGGACATGACACTAAAAATCAGGGAGGAGGCCAAGAACAGTTGTTGGGAGCATGCCAAACATAACTTTTAAAAAAAAGGCTTCGTCTGCTGGTAGAAGACAGCAGTCGAGGGTGACAGAAACATTTCTCAGGGGAGGGAGTTCCAAAGTTTTGGCACTGTAACTGAGAAGACCCTTTCTTGGATTTTGGCGCCAAAAGCGCCGCACACGGGACTTGAGAGGGGGTGGGGCAGTGTAGGCTTAAAGCCCAGCCCCGCCTCTCCGCACCAGCAGTCCCGCGCGGTTCGTCGGCCCACCCTCCCGCCCTGTTAGTAGTGCAGGTGTTTGCTGGTCGCCAGATTTTGGGGCCGGGTAGGAATTTTTCACCCCTTCCTGATTGGCGCTTGGAAGGGGTGTTTTTGCCTACCCTGTACTTCGGCAGTGATGCAGGTGTTTTGAAGGGTGGGTCGTGTAAGCTAGATGGTCACTTTTGTGTAGGCAGGTTGCTATGCGGTATACAGATTGCGGTCCGGTGAGCACCAGCTGACACCCATCTTTGGGTTTTAAGGGGTCCTGTGAGTACAGTCTTTGTGCCTTGCGGTACGGGGCGGGGAAAACGGACTGCCTTCGGGACGGCCCTGTTTAGGTCCTCTCTTTGAGCCTTGCGGCTTGGGGGGTGGGGCTACAGGGTTGTCTTGCAATGGCTAGCCGGCCGGATGGTAGCCCCTGCAGTGGGCTCCCACCCGGGGCAGGGTGGCTCGCCCTATTGACAAGGTAAGGGAGGGGTCCTTGACCTCTGGCCTTGAC